AGGGGCCGGCGGTGGCGGCGGGCGCGGAGGAGAAGCCTTACCTGAAGGTGGACCCTGAGCTGGTGGTGACGGTGCTGGGCGACCTGGAGCAGCTCCTCTTCAGCCAGATGCTGGGTGAGTTGCGGCCGTCGCGCCGGCAGGGGATGGGGAAATGGCGGGAGGGACCCGCTGGAGGCGGCGGCCGCGTCCCCGGCGCTGAGGGGAAGGCGCCGGGGTGCTGAGGGACACGGCGCCGTCGGCCTCGCTGAGGGGAAGGCGCTTTCAGCCTCCTCTCGCCTTGGCTCCAGCCCCCTCACGACGAGGGATGGCAGGTGGCGGTCGAGCTTGTCCTCCCCCATGTGCCTTTTCGGTCACGGCTTGTGTCTGCCCCCACCCAAGACAATGGACGGTGCCCGGTCGCGCGTCGCAGCCGCTTCCCGCTCTCGGGGGTCTCGCTCCGGGGCTGACCTTGGCCGCTCTGGCCCGGAGGCTGCCGTGGAGGTGTCGGTGCGTAGGGACCGCGCTGCTGCCCGTGCACTGGGCAGGAGGCTCCGGGGCCAGAGCTCCTCCCAGCTCTCCGGCTCTGGCCGAGGAGGGTCCTCCAGGGAGGCCGCCCCAGGGTTCGCGTGAGGCGGTTTCAGCCTGTGGCTCCTGCATCCTGCTCTGCCGACGGGTTTGATCCCGGAGCCTGCGCGGCCGAGAGCTCGTTGTGTGTGTGGTGGGTCTTCATCCAGGCAGGGAGCGCTGGCGCCCAGTGCTGGCTGTGCCCCCGATCTCAGGACCTGCTGCCCGCCTCGTGGGCACGACACTGGGTGTCAGTACAGGCGTGTCCAGCCCTCGTGTTTCCCTCGTGGCCGTGTGCTGACCTCGAGGAATTGGGAGCAGCTTGGGAGCCCTCTGCTTCCCGCTGGAGCCCACCCTCTCCTGCCTCCTGGCAGCGCCTGTGGGCTCAGTGGGCTCGGCTGGACAAGGGCCACGGGGGGGTTTGCGGCTCCAAAGAGCTCTGCTCTGGCAGACTGACGTGAGAAGGTGGCAAATGAGCTCTGCACAGCTGCTGTGGTTCTCCCGGCGCTCGCTGGTGGTTGGTGGCAGGGGGGAGTGGTGGTACAGGCAGGGCCGGGAGCCCTGGTGTGTCCAGTTCCCTCCTGGGGCTCCCTTCTAGGAGGCCAGGAGCTTCGCCGGCACTTGGCGAGCTGCCTTGGGGTGCCTTCTCCTGGCTGCATTGTGGGCAGAGCTGTGCCGTGGGGAGAAAGGGGAGAGATTCGCCCTGGCTGGGGGCTGTGGGGGAGGTTTGCAGAGGTGGAGCGAGCTGGAGTACGTGCCGGAGTCAGACGCCTGTGAAGCTCTGCTGGCTGAATCTGGTTCCCTGCCGTTCCACGAGTCTTCAGGGTGTTGCAGCCCCCAGTTCCAGTGCGGGGCTTGGGCACACAGGCACGGAGCCCCCAGACCCATCACTGGCCACACACACCCATGGGAGCGGCAGCAGTGGGGCGCACCCTGCCCAATCCTCTCCCTGCCAGGGGTCTGCCCCAGCTGCTGGAGCACCCTGGAGCTCCCTGGGGCTGTACAAGCCGCTCGTGGAAAACCACGGAGTGAGCTCAAGGCGCGAGCAGGCTGGACGTGTGAGGTCAGCCTTGTAGCGGGGGCTGCAGGGGCCTGGGCTTGTGGCCATCCATCCTCAGCCCTAATGCTGGGGTAACACCTGATGCCGTGGGAGTAGGGCAGGATTGCAGGATGATTTGTCACTTGTGGGACTAATGGATCTGGTGTTGGTGTGCCTGGGGGGATCTCAGTGTCCCCCTGTGACGCTCTGCTCTTAGATAGGGGTTTCCTCAGCACCCCAAAGAGAAATTCTTGCTGCTTCCCCCACGGTGCAGGACTGGCTCATGTGGGAGTGACTCCTGGTTTGTGGCAGTTGCTGGAGTGCCAGAGATCCTGACTGCAGGACAGGGACTTGTGCACACGCCGAGGAAGACCATGGGTTGTGAAAGTGCCCCAACATCTGCTTTGGTTTCTGGCGTGGTTGCTTAGCCCCTGCCTGTGTCAGGGCCTGCTTCAGGGCCCCAGGGCCGACCTTGACCTTGGGAGGTGTTGAGCATCCCTTTGAACTGCATGTACCATCTGAAGGCTTGGTCACCTGGCCTGTGAGGGTCAAACTCTGCTGAATCTACCCTCTGAACCCATCTGCTCTGTGTATTTGCCGAAATAATTTTCCAAGACGGACTGCTGGGCTTCTTGCAGTGGGGCCTCTGGGCTGGTTGTCCAGTGTGGGGTGGGGACAGTGCCTGGGGTGGACAGGATGGGAGCTTAACCCTGCTGAAACGTGGCTTTCCATCCGTGGGGCTGTACTTCACCTTCATGGGGGTTGTGACGTTGAGCTATACCTACTTAACCAAGCCAACCATGGCCTGGCACGTCCTTGACAGCCTGTGTGCTGGGGGTGCTGGCAGGAGCTTGGGGATGTGCAGGGGAGGGAGCAGCATGACAGTGGTGGAGGCAGCAGAACCGTGGCTGGGGATTGACGAGCCTGGACACATTCTGAGCTTCTGGTCCTGACCCCTTTGCTTGTTGTCTGGTGTGATCCAGGCAGATGAAACCACCTCCAGGGGTAGCGGTGCCTTTCACAACCTGGATCCTTAAGGGAGAGGTTCCTCCTGCGGTTGGGATGGACCCAGAAGGGACAGGATCCCTCTTGCTCAGGGGAGTAGCCTTCACGCCCTGCTAGGGCTGGTGAGTAGGGCCAGGAAAGGGGCTTTCTCCTGGTTGCTACAGGAGGTGCTTGGGAGGGAAGGAAGGTTTCTCTGATAATTTCATGGATCCCTTTGGCAAGATCATGATCCCCTTGGCGTCAGCCTGAGCTGTCTGGCCATGTCTGCTGGAGGACACCCTATCCGGAGTGGCATGAGAAGACCCTCAAGCTTGGTTTGTGCTGGGAAAAAAGAGGCAGCAGTCACAGGGACTTTCAGCCTCTGCAGATGTTGTTGTCCTTGAACTGCTGACCTGTGTGGAGAAGCCTGTGCTGCCTCTGCCTAACCCAAGCTCTGGGCTCCACCAGACACGATGGCTCGCAGAGACCTTGTGCGTCTTTGGTCTCCACACCTGCGTTCTCATCTCCACCTCGTGCTTCTCCTGCCAGAAGCACTCCCAAGCCTCTGCTGCCCAAAAATACAGTTTATTTAGTAGTGGCCAAATGTTACCTCTCATTTGGTTGTTGCTGCTGTGTCATCTGTTTGATGGCACCGAAGCCTTTGTAGAGCTGCTGGAGAAGTAACCACGTTTAAAGTAGAGCAGTCTATGCAAGATGGGAGGGGTCACTGGGACACAGCAACCACATGTGCTTTGTAGAGGCTATTTCCATCATCTAAATTATACATTTCACGTCAACCAAAGACCGAGGCTTCTCATCAAAGCCGGCTGGCAGCTGGGGTTGCTAATTACCCCAGTGCCAGGCCACTGGATGAAGGGTACGGAGGGCGCGTGGCCAGCGTGGTGGAAGAGCTCGCTGTGCAGAGCTCGCCGTGCCCATCTCCGTGAGCGGCGGGTGAGACCGTGCAGGTGCAGAGGTGCATTTGGGCTGCGTGCGAGGTCGTTAGCACTGGGGTGCGGTGCCCAGCATGATTGCTGCACTTACCTAGAGCTCCCCAGAGCACCTCCGAGAGCCAGCAGCTCCTTTCTGCAGCCATTTCCTTGGCCATCCATGCTGTATATGGTGCCTCTTAAGTGCCTGCTAATTCACGTAAGCGAATAAGTGGCGAGTGTTGCGTGGGCCAGAGCCCAGGCAGACACACGTGTGATCCCAGGGGAGATGGTGTTACCCAAAGTGCTCGCTGCAGGAGTCTTTGCAGCCCTGCAAGCCTCCACAGGTGTGGATATGACCCGTCGCGCTCCTGCAGCCCTCGGCTGGTGGTGAGTGGGCAATGCCACCCTTCCCTGAGAGGCCCAGCAGGGATGTCCTCGGCGGGCAGCATGTGCTCGTGGAGACCTGGTTCCTTCATGGTGCCGACACGCAGGCGGGGCAGTGCCCCGGGCAGGGTAGGCAGGCAGCTGGCTGGAGAGTGGGTGCTGGCAGCCTGTCGGTGGTGGGGGGTAGAGACAAGGGGCTGGTATGGGCAAGGTGGGCTCCTTGAAGGGCAGGAGCTTCACATTGCATCTGGCTGTGGTCAGTTTTAAGAAGAAACCACAGTGCAGGAAAGATGCTTGGCTGGTGTCTGACATGTCCTATGCAAGCACATTCCCAGCTCCGATGGAGCTTCCCTCCTGATGGCCGTCCTCGCAGGCCAGGCACATGGTATGGGATTTAAAGGAGCACCTCAGCCCCACGGCGTTCCTGGCTGTTTAATTAAATGCTAACGGGCCCGTTGCAGCACTGTGCAGCAATAGCCAGGCTCCCTGGCAGGAGACCATAAGGAGGTCAGAGACCAAGTAGCTCTTCACGGTGACGGGAGCGAGTTATTGCCTCATAAAGTGGGGTGGCTGTCCTGATACTGCTGTCACACTAACGTTATTCCTCTTTTAAGGCCCCTGTGTGATGGCACCTGTGTGACGAGGTCGTTGGGGTGGGGATTTATGTCCTTCTGGCCACAGAGCTGGACTCCTGTGTTTGGGGTAGGGGTGAGGAGAAAGGGGGGAGGTACATGGTCGTGTTGCTGCTTCCATTCTGCTCTCATGAGCTGACGGTGAGTAGAAGGTGTCTCGTCTCTCTGGCTGAGATGGCTGCAGTCACTGGGGAGAAGGTCTACAAACATGACCCGAGGGCCCCAGAACTTTCTGCTGAAGCTGTTTGGGATGTGCCACGTTTCCAGTGATAATGGCAGTGCAGAAAGTGCTAAAAAACCCCAATAATCCAGTTTTGTCTTTCAAAATTACCCATGGAAAAGTGGCACGGCAAACAGTTGAAGG